ATTTGCTTGTATGAATTTGATGTGCATCTTTAGATGGTGAAAAAGTACAGTGTTGATAATATGATTTTGGATGGAAGCACAAGTGACATGGAGCAGTTAGAGGAGGAAGATGAAGGTGGTAGTGATGAGGAATGGAATCCTAAGGCAGTACCTACTACAGAAGGTTCAAACAACAGTGATGAAGATATGAGAGGAGAAAGTGTTAAGGAAACAGATGCAGAAGTATAAACAGTAGCTGACAACAACAAAAGTAAAAAAGGAGCCGTACAGATGGAAAAAAGTACTATTTAAATCTCCAAATGTTGAGTTTAATGGATGTGTTGAGGAAGAGTTAGTAGACGGGTCAGACTGGACACCCTATACATGCTTCCAGTAGTCAATTGTGAATGAAATGCTACAGGAAATTGCATGTACAGAAACTGAGAAATTCACAACACAAACGTAAAGAAACTGAACAGGTTCTAGGTATGTACATACAGTATGGTGTGGATACAGATGTCCAATGTACGAGCCTATTGGGAGACAGGGACAAGGTATCCCCCTGTCGGGGCGCGTTATCTTGAGAATGCTTCCTAAAATTGTTGACAATAATTCACTGTCAAGACAACCTCAGTGTGCTTGATCAGAATGAGAAAGACAAATTGTGGAAATTTAGGCCATGGTTACAAAAACTAAAAATAGTAGCAAAAATAGCAATTGGGTCTACAACAAAGCATAGTAACCATGTTGCAACATGACTGCAAAAACTTGTAAAATGTAAAACAATCTAAAATACATGTAATATGATGCAAATGTTTTAAAAATGTATGTTTAAAAAAGTGATCCTATAATGATCATATAATATAAACCAGAGATGCTGGGTGTATCAAATATGATACAAAAAAATCATACATAGAGACTTTTTTTCTACAGCTTTTTTTCATTGTATCAAAAAGATGCAATAACTTCCATTTCAAATATCAGCCTTTAAAAGGTTAAGAAGGTGCTGATTGGCTGCTGCCTTACTGAGCTGCCTGGTCAGCCAAAGAACGACTGTAAGCAGACATGCGATATGATGTTTGTCAGGCAGAGCTACAGCCCCACTGAACTGGTTACCTGCAGCTGCAGGGCGTAGGATCCTGGGGGGAGGGGATGGTAGGAACCTTGTACCCCCCAATATATCAGTTAGATTGTCATTCCCCCCAATAAATATAGCATTGTATTTACGTCATCAAGTTGTTATCCCAATGTCAAATTCTCTTCTGTGCCGCTCTGCTGCTGGTTACCATTTCATCCCCAGACTATCTACTTTTAGATTAGTGCTACAGGTTTGGTGAGACAGAGAGATAGAGACAGACAGAGAGAGAGAGACAAAGAGAGAGACAAAGAGAGAGATAAAGAGAGAGACGAAGAGAGAGACGAAGAGAGAGACAAAGAGAGAGACAGACAGAAAGAGAGACTGGCTGCTTGTGAGTCATGTTCTGCCTTTTTTCCGGTAGAGCCACCTCACCCATTGCGATTTCGTGCTGAGCTCTCCTGTCTTCGTGCTGACCTCTCCTGTCATGCAGTGGCAGTCTGCTGTCTTCAGAGTCTCCCACACAGAGCAGAGATGTTTCCTGTGTTTTCCTCATGTGTCAGTCATGTTGGGAAACACGTGTGACAGACCCCGAAATTAAACTGTCAGCACACGGCGTTTGCAGGTACGGCTCGGGCCTGTGAGGCGATATACAGGAATGAATGTTCGCTTGTCATGCGGGACAAACTAGGGGTGTGCAGCGATCCATGCATCTCCTCTGGAGGAGGCTGACAGAAACGCCCCCTGTACTACACCCCGGCTCGCAGACACTAAAGGAAAGCTACACCCCGGCTCGCAGACGCTAAAGGAAAGCTACACCCCGGCTCGCAGACGCTAAAGGACAGCTACACCCCGGCTCGCAGACGCTAAAGGAAAGCTACACCCTGGCTTGCAGACGCTAAAGGAAAGCTACACCCCGGCTCGCAGACGCTAAAGGAAAGCTACACCCCGGCTTGCAGATGCTAAAAGAAAGCTGACGCTCAATGAAGTTACGTAGCACAAAATCAGACCCCCAAAAACCCAGTCTAGAGGATGTGTCAGTCAGTCGGGATGCAAGTGTTACGTTATTTACCAGAATATTGGATAAATATGACTGACTTTAAACAGCAGGATACAGACTAAAGCAATCCTCTTTTGAAGAGCAGCCATTTTGGAGGTGAGATTTAACTCCTTGAGGTTACAAATTCAGGTACTTAATCAGGAGCATCACGAGAGATTTATGAAAAGGGGGGGGTAAGCCTTTACTCGGGGGGGGGGGGGGAGTCTGATTTTAATGAAAATGAATGAGAACACTATTTAAATGAATTAGTCTACATTTATTTTCTGGGGGTTAAATGCTCCCTAAAACAGCCCTAGCGACACTGATATGTCCTTGACCATCCTGACAGCAAATCGATGTCTACCCAGCATGCACCACAACTACACTGTGTAAGCAGTTTGCAGGTATTCCAAACCTCTATTTACAGGAAGCCTCTGAAGTGCTGTCACTGCTCAGTCCCTTTGCCGCTTCATAACCTGTCCAAAAGATGACTGGTTGGCTCCTGCCTCTTGTGTGGATTTTACCCCATGTCTAGAAGGTCGTCAAATGACCCAAGACAACAAATTACACATTACATGATCACATTACATAGGTTTTTTCTCACTGGACTCAATCACCCACAAACCCCAGCAGTAACTACAGGAAACCAGGTAGCCCAAAATACTACACCATATGCCTTGTATTACACAACACTTATTCTGTATGGCAAACAGGTGATGAGAGGAGTGAGAGAGAATTGTAATTTAAATACACCTATTAGCCATGGTAGTTCAGTCAACATTTTCGCAATTCTCGATTATAAGATTCCTTGCCTTTTTTGGGGTGGTGGTGGGAAGGGGGCTCGCTAACAGACCCTCACATAGTGCCTAGAAGGAAGGAGAGGGTTTGGGGTTTGATCGACCATCAGGAAGTGGAAACATGCGCGGGATTCATTAATCATCCTGGCTTGGCCCCCACTGTCCAGTGACATAGATCCTCTGTTCTCATTACTGCTGTAAAACCCCCTACAGAATAGAAGTCCATACCACAAGATTCTGTTCTGCTTTAGGATGTATGAGCTTGTAAAATCACCACTCGTGTTCACCCTTCAAAGTGGATCACACAGTGCCCTTTGCTCATACGCGACTGGAGTCTGACTCAGAGGGTTCTCCTGGAAGGTTCTCCTGGAAGGTTCTCCTGGATGTGATTTCAGCACTGGATGCAGCAGGTGGGACCATCAGCTGCACGGGAGTCTCACATCAGAGTCCAACAGCTCTTTAACCAGTTCCTGATCTTTCGTCCCTTGTGTTTTCCTTCTGAAAGAGGATTTTAGCCTTGGTGTTCTGAATGTTTTGCATGTATAGTTGCTCCAATACTGCTTACACTTGTACCTGGCCATTTACTGGACGCTCATGAATGTTTGCAATGAGCTATATGCTCCACCTATACATCACTTTGGACAAAAGCGTCTGGTAAATATGTAAATGAAAATCCTTTGTTGGACATGTTTCCAAATCATCTTCAAGTCAGTTAGCCTGAACGCTTCTTTGTTTTGTGACGCAGTGCTACTGCTTTTTACTACCCTTCTAACAATATCAAACAGATTAAAGTCCCTCTTCATTAATCCACTTAATTGGCCCATTAATTGAAGTGTTTCTCTGTTTTTTTTAATCCCAGTCCTTGCCATCATTAAGAACATAAGAACATTGTTCAAAGGGACTGTGAATGACCTGCGGCATATCAGTGAAAACAGACAGAAATGCGTGATTTGTGTGTAAAAATACGCAGCTAAAGCATTAGGAATCTTATCTATGTTCATGTTTTTTTTCTCCCGGCTTGGAAAGTAAATCAAGGAAGCTTTATTTACTGCCACCTTGTCTTCAGATTAGTACTGGAAATGAATGACATAGTACATGCAGTTAAATAAGGACTGAGGTACGCGGGATGCCTACAGAGAAACTGGTAGAATTACCTACATATAAATTCGGCATCAAACGGGACAAAAAGGCTAATGTTTCGGATTCTATAATATTACTGTCCCCTGTCTGTTTGGGTGTGGTTTGGAGTTAGATGGCAGTTACATCCTCATATTTGCTTGTTGAAAAATTACCATGTTTATTGATATATCTTTGATTACTAGTACTGCATAATTGAAAACTCCTTTGTAAAATACAATTTGTGGTGTCCTGATAAGCCAGAAAATGTTATCGTCAGAAATCCTCGGCACTTAGCTAACCTGCCAGTTTCCTGTCTGGATGTTGAGTGGATGGGCACAACTGCAATGGGATATATAATAAGCAACATCGACACTAGTTCACTTCCTCTCTGTTGGCTGTTCTGTTGTCACTACAATGTACTTCCATAACACATCTCATGTCCTGATTCCCTGAGCTTCATTTCAATAAACTCTGCCTTAAAGAGTGACCCCTCCTCACATCCTCACCCCCGAGCCAGTGGCTCTGATTGGCTACCTCTACTAGCATTAAACTCTCTAGTCAGTGGAGAAGTACCCTACCCAACAATAGTAATAGTTATGAAGGCTCTGAATCCCTGAGAGTATGGGAAAAGTTGTTTTTTTTTGAGGGTACCAGTACTCAGCTTAAGCAGTCTTTGTTTTACTGGTTCATTTGACCTTGGAAAGGATACATCACTGCGATTGGTTGGCATCCCATCCTGGGTTGTTCCCTGCCTTGTGCCCGTAGCCTCCGGGATGAGCGCCGGACCCCCTGCAATCCTGAATAGGATAAGTGGAAACACCAGCGCCCTGGGATAATCGTCAAATCAACCTGAGTCTCCATGTTAGGGCCCCTAGATGAGTTAATCTGCCCCTAGCAGAAGGTAGTCTCATGCATTGAGATCTTCCTGTAGGTTCTGAGGTGGTCTGCTGGGTGTCTTCATGTGATTCCCCCCTCCCCCCTTCCTCCACAGAGAACCGGCTCATCCTGGATGCCTTTGCGCAGCAGTGCAGTCGCGTCCTCAGCCTCCTGAATGGCGGCGGGCAGCTGCTGGACCCCCGGCCGTATGCCTCGGCGTCATTCATGTCCCAAATCAAGCAGGAGGAAGGTGGATATGTGGAGAGAGAGCTGCCCGAGGGGTCCTGCCAACCCGATAAGGTGGGGCCTGCAGAGGTGGAGACATCAGAGGCGGGGCTGGAGGCAGAGCCTCTGCACAGCCATCGGAGGCAGCAGCAGACCTCGGCCATCCTGCACGCCTTCACCGAGTCGCTCTACGGCTACCTGACGGCCGGCTCCCGGCCCAAACCCGGCTACTGCCACCCCGCCGACCCGGACGTCCTCCCATCCTCTCCATCCCACACCCTGGGTGGATGGACCTCGCCCACAACCTCGGAGTCTCACGGACACCCGTCGTCTACGTTCCCTGAGGAAGAGGATGAGGAGGAAGCCTGCTGCCCACGCTGCCTGGAGCTGGAGCAGGAGGTGCTGTGCCTGCAGCAGGAGAACGAGGAGCTGCGCAGCAAGCTGGACAGCGTGCCAGGTGCTGCCCTCTCATGGTTAATGAGCTTTACTGCACGGCTCATTTTGCAGCGGGATCAAGACAGTCAGCTGTGTGGCATGCAGTCCATCCCTTACATTGGGGGAGGGTTAAAATCAGAAATACTGGGGATTTCTAAAAGGTCTGCTCCACCGCGAGAAGGTCTATACCACCAGAGTTTAATCGCCATGACAATTTATTTCACCATTTCTCAGTCATTCATAAATCTGCTTGCTTATTGCTTGGCAGGACTGAGAGGATGATAATGGCCCCAGTATCGGAGAGAACAGCTTGGATTTGGCTAATGGGCCAGATCCAACACATTTATTTATTTCCCATAGCCCCCCCCCCCCCCACCGGAGAATGAATCACTGCTTTCTGATGTGGAGACGGAGCAATTACGAAACATGGCACCCTGTGCCGTCCAGCGAGGCCAGCGAGGCCCCCACACACTCATGGTTTATGAAGGCTGTGAAACCAGAGCTCCCAGAATCCCCTGCTTTTGGCCAATACATATTGGCTATCACAGTATTACATTACAGCTCAGGGCCCTGAAAAAAAAAATTGGGTTGTCGTTTCCTGAAGTCGTCCATGTTCCTTCCCCTCACTATCCCTGTTTTCTGTCGGACAGTACCGTGCCAGAACGTTCTGGATTTCTTCAAGGCAGTCCTGCAGCACCACAATCAGTTCATGCAGCCGCCGCCGGAGGAGCAGCTGACAGAGGTAAGGAGGCCGCGAAGTAGATTCCCGACCCCCTCAACACCCCCCAACCACCCTGCCACATTAACCGTGTTCTTTATACCTGTATATACAGCCTCATAAATGCAGGACTGCACAAATTCCTCCTGCTTGATTTACCGTTTGACTGTTTTATCATTTAGTTACCTCTTCAATTTTATTTATTTTTACTGGCTGTTGCTGTTTTTAATTGCACTGCGCTCTGGGCCGGCAACGTATTTCATTCTCTCCCCTCCACTCATCCATAATGAGGATGCCCATAAATTTGACCTTGGCTCAGTTGGTCAAGGTCACTGCCTGTGTCCTCAGTGAGATCCCAGCATCGACGAAACCACATTGTTTACGAAAATCATTGGAAACGTAAATTATGTCATTTTTTTGTACTAGATAGAATCCATCTGTAGCATGTGTTAACACACAGGGAAAACAGGAGGACAGGGGAAGCATTAGCTATTAAGTATCACATGCAACACAGTTAACAAGGCTGGAAACTGCTCAGGGGTAGACTGGGGTGCGGGTGGGATTTCCTAAAGACTGTGAGACCCCTGCCTCTCTTCCTGTGGTATTCCCCCCTTGTCTGTCCTCTGATCTCTGATCAGCATTGACCAGACTGAATGTGTCGTGAAACTCCACCTGAAACTGCTTACTTACTGATCTTGGATCAGTGGTCACATCATCTTAGTCTGCAGTGTTTTCCTTTCCCTTACTTTAAGTCCCAAAATACCCTGGCAGAAAACATCATGTTTGATCCTCATTTTTGGAAGCATGTTATAATAGGTCAGGAGTCAAAATATGCAAAAAGGGTTTGAGATCTGGATGAAGTGTGCATGATCAAGAACCAGGATTCGGCAGCGAGTCGAAACCGGATCGGAAACATCGCAAAATGAAAACAAAGCAAATTGAATCGGCTGACAGGAAGGACCAGACTGCAGCCCCAAAGATGAACTGCAGATAAACCACCATCAGATTGGCAGCGAAAGGCGCCGTTCATCAAAGGGCTGACACATCATGCCGAGCATGCGGAATTACACAAGGGCTTATCTCACGTCGAACTAAACTCTGATTTAATGAAGGAGCTGGTGTGATTCAGATGGCTTGAAAAAGTCATTTTTAAAATGTCTGGGAACTGAGGAGACCAGGTGCTGGAGTGTTAAAAGTGAAATGCTGTCCCATTATTATTATTTTTATTATTATTATTACCAGTTTATGTTTGTTAAATTCCTTTATAGTAAAGAATGTCTGGTACAAGTATTTTTGGATCGTTTGCATGCAGAAGATTTAGAAGGGTAAATAACGGAAGCCGTCTTTGATCTGAAGTTGAAGGCCTCCTTGGGTGTTTTAGTGGTGAATGTAACACTCTTCCAGTGTAGCTTATAGACTTTACAGGTCCCACATTCCAAAGATTCACCATCGGATGCATCATGTCTTTTGAGGACCTCCCAACAAGACGAAGACAGTTATGACTAAAGGTCTGGACAAGACTCCCCGATTGAATCGGGTCCCAGAATGCTTTGCATTGGCACAAGAACAGGATAAGCACTATATTACAAACAGCAGGAAGCAGCTTACCTGGTTTAGCCCATGTGGCTAACATGCTTCATGTAGGTTCAACCATCTAGTCCTCATTTTGTACACAAATTCATGGTGATATGAAAAGATCGAGGTGAATTTCTCACTGTCCCACACCGCATAGATGCCAAACAGCAAAAATGCTTGCTGGCATAAAATGAAAAGTGTGATTCCTAGTGCAGGAACATTGTTTCGGTTTTGGGAGAATTCTGCTGTCTGGAGCTCAGACTTTTCGCTGGTTGCCCCAGATGTCATGCTGTAACATCCTTCCCCTCAGCCTGCATAATTTCAGTAAAATAGCCAGATTTCATAGTTATATAAGCCACTTTGGGTAAAAGTGTCTGCTAAGTGAAAAGCGTATTTTATAAAATGATGAATGCAGTTGTAATGGAAGCGGACAGGCCAGCCAATGACAGGCCACCTTAGAGTGAAGCAGGAGGTTTTTCCATAACCTGGCAGAATAACCCCCACCCCCACCCCCACCCCTTACAGCACAGACAGCCCTACCAGACCCTCCAACGGCCTGCCTCCGATCGGGTAAGATTAGAACCTGGGGTACAGAGACGCGTAAAAGCAAAATCTGCAGCAGAGACATAACGACAAAAACATTTGGCTCAGGGTTACGTAAACACACCATCAAGGGGCATCTCCTTATTGCACTTTGTTTCACATGCAGCGTACAAAAAATAAATTACAAATGCTTAGCACCTCTGGAACCCAATATGCTCGACTCGCATTGGGGCAATTACTATAAAAGGGGTTTCATGCCCCCACTGTCAGGGGCTGCCCTCCCCATCTCACGAAGAGCTCATCACTACCAGCCGTGTTGCGTGTGTCTTCCCGGCAGACCAGCTGTATTCAATTATTAGTCCCCGAGGTCCAAATTCTATCAGCGACACAAAGCCAAGGTCCAATGCCTTCGATAGTATTTTCCGGTGAGGTCCCCCTTAGTAGATTTCGCTGACGGGAGAGGGGGATGGATTCGTTAGTGTGTTCCAGATGAAATTGTCTTTTCGTCCAGATGTGGACCAGGGTCTGCCAATTGAGTATCCCTGTGTCAGGCTGTCCCCCCCCCCCAGGGCAGTAAGCAGCTCCTGGGAAACTACCCCGTCTTCATCACCAACAAGCAGTGGGACGAGGCCGTCAACTCCTCCAAGAAGGACGGGCGCCGGCTGCTGCGTTACCTGATCCGCTTCGTCTTCACCACCGACGAGCTGAAGTACTCGTGTGGCCTGGGCAAGCGCAAGCGCTCGGTGCAGACGGGCGAGGCCGGACCTGAGAGGCGCCCGCTCAACCCCGTCAAGGTCACGTGTCTCCGAGGTAAGGCGTGACACCTCCCGTCATTAATCCCACCTCAGAGCATGTTTGTCGTCATTATTTATAAAGCACACGGTGAAATAAGAAGCGGTAAATATGCGTGGCTCAGTGGGTAAGGACGCCGTGCCTCAGATTGAGGGGGTGCTGGTTCAAATCCCATGGTCAACAGCATGATTGACATAATGACATGTCCTTCTGCCTAAATTAAATAATAATAAATTAAAAAAAAAACATATATATAAATATTATAGATTCTTTTGTCCATGTATTAACTTCTGATTCATACAAGTTTTAGGTCAAGTTCCTTGCAAGCTTTGATTTGAGGTGGAGCTGCTATCGATCAAGCTCATTGCTCACTGATTACTCACTGATTACTCATTACTAAATCACTATTTTGATGGCATTGTGCACACACACATGGGTGCTGAGATACTGAGGAAACCAGCACCTTGCTGATTACAGATAATGTTTGAGGTCTTTGTACTTTGTCTAGCTTCTCCTCTCTCTTTTGATTTATCGCTCGACTATTCTCTCTAGCTCCTCCCCTGTTTTTGACATACACACAAACTCCTTGGTTTGCACAGAAACTTCCTCAGACCATTATGTTAATGCTGTTGATGATTTTGAACCCAATTTGAAGTACCTAAGCAGGCTCCTCTCCCTGCAGAGTTCATCCGCATGCACTGCGCCTCCAATCCAGACTGGTGGATGCCGTCTGAGGAGCAGATCAACAAGGTGTTCAGCGACGCGGTGGGCCACGCACGGCAGGGCCGGGCTGTGGGCACCTTCCTGGGTGGGGGCAGTAGTGGTGGGTCACTCGGCGCTGAGGTATTCGACGGTCACCTGTCCCAGGACGAGGTCTTCTTCAAGGGGTCCCAGGATGGCTCAGGGGACTGAGTGGGACGTCAGGGGTGGGTGAGATGCCTTCTTAACCTGGCCAGTCTGGCCACTCTGGGAAACCAGTTAACATTCCAGAGAGCAAACAGACTCTCCCAAACAGGTACATGAGCTGAGCGTCTTTTTTTTCTGAGTTTTTTCATTCCCAGAATTCATACTGTGAGAAGGTGAGGATCTTTCCGGATGGTTTGAGTTGATAGTTGATATACCGGTGCTATGTTTGCCTACAGCAAGACAACAGTGCTGGTACGTTTTTTATCCAAGGGATGGAGGTTTTCTGTGTAACTGAAGCTATCTTTCCATCTTATAAAGAAAGGTGTTACGATTGAGCTCACATAGATAGGTTACTGACTGTCACGATCATGATATGGAGTGTGTAAGCGCAAACACTGAGATTCATAGCGACCGCTATCGCGGTCCGGCTTGAGAAATGCTTTTTGACGTGATTCTCAGCCAGACTGCGGAGGAGGTTGATGCAATGCACCTCTTTGGAACAGCCCCCATTTCCACAAGCGTTTTGGAGGGGGCTTTTGTCATTCCTCTCAGACTCTGGTCTTCAAAGGCTCCACCTTCGTCTATCCATGACTCTGCCTACATTGCCCACAGTGCCTCATAACAGGTCTGGTTCTTGTTCCTTTCACCACCGAAGACTCCAAACTGACATTCCTGGGGAAACATTTCCAAATCCTGTCTTTTGTGTCTCCACTGTACCGTGGAACCCAGATCCAGGTTTGTTACAGGCATCAATTTCCCATCTTCTCAGATTCCATGTTTCCTGTGGTCTTGAACGGTCTCTCGCCTTAAGTTCGGAACCACACCTCGGTTGGCTCCCCAGTGTCAGGTATATTTCACTGCCATCCAACATGTGGTCCTACAATTTTATCTATTTCGTAACAATAAAACAGGGATCCTTCAAAATAGCCACACTGGCTGGGGCCTCCATGGAACATGCAGATGTTGTACCCTCACTTAGAGGTCTTTTTTGTTTCTGAATGTTGCAGATGTTTAGGGACTCATGTCCATCTAGCAACACTGTTGCCAGTGTTTGTCCACTTGAACTGGGTCTCCTGCAGGAAACCATCTGCTAGCAGCAGTTGCCGCTGTCCTCCATCAACACTTCTCTGGCTTTACTTCCTGGGCCTTGCTTCCTGTCTCAGCTTTGCCACGGCACTTGTCTGTAAGTGGCTCTGGGCCAAGGACAATGTTTCAAGGCCCACTGGGATCTTTTCTGGAGTCTTGTTCAGTGTTTCAGGACAGGGTCCTGCTTCATGTGAAATGCATAGTTACAGCTGCTTTGACCTCATGAAATCTTCTCATAGGCCAAATTCCAAGCAGAACCTTGTCCCGGCCCAGAACTCCCAACAGATCCTTTTGTCGGGCCAGAACTCCAAGCAGAACCTTGTCCCAGCCCAGAACATCACACAGAATCTTATCTCAGCCCAGAACGCCCAGACACCTAATCTCAGCCCAAAACCCCCACTGGCCCTTGTCTTGGTACCATTGCCTGGGAATCTTAATACACTGTATTTTATTTGTTTACATTACGATTCCATGTAACATGATCGCTTATTATATGACGAGAGAATGATACAGCTGTTTGTTTCACACCAACATCACGACTAAAGACTTCCTATCCTCCCAATGGTCATACTCTGAATGTTACTGATGGAACCTCTGGGGATTCAATCTGCAGGAAAAGCTTTTTCAGGTGGTCTAGCCAGTCAGTCGGAAGCAGAACCTACCTTGCGAGGTTTCCATTTGAATGAAGGTAATATTAGACATGGGGGAAAAGCTCTGGGGGTAAAAACAAACGGATGTGTCATCCGTCAGGCACGCACACGGATCAGTGCGGCATCGTTTGCCGGTACTCGTGTTCAGCATGAGTTAGTATGTGCATTTGCATAGAAGCTCAGCTACACGACGGTGACCTTAGTTCTTTACATAAAATGGTATAGAATCAATTCCAGCTGTTAAAACGATCCTAATCGTTCTGCCATCTGCTAGTTTTTAGGAGAGATGTGCGTGATGTTTCGTTGTTTTTGTTTTTTTTTTATTTCAGAAAGAGTCCAGATAAATAACTGCAGTCAATATGAAGATGTGTTTCACGTCCACAGTTGCCCCTTTGATGTTGTTAGTAGGGGCTGCATGAGGTTAGGCTCCTCTTGTGTCTTCCAGCGAAGGTGCCACTCACAGCTAATCCCACAAACTGTGATTTTTCAGCTCTTTTTTTTTTTTTTTAAGGTAAGAGCGAATGTAGACACAGGTCAGTGTGACCATTTA